TCAAGTTGCAGTAATTTATAAAGGCTGATCACTTTAACCCAGCCAAGATCGATCTTTGTGATACAAGCAAATGATTTTTTAGTTTTATCCTGAAAACGTGTGAACAAAATGCCCGAGTTTTTCTTTACCCTACTTTTGTTTACATGGACGTTTGATGTTTGTTTTCGCATATTTTGCATGACAGCGGTTGTTCCTTCCTTTGGAAATTTTGCGCGAGAAATTGACGTGCGGCCAGTCATAAATATTGACCTCCTAACAAATGCCATTCGTTTGACTGCAGCGTCACCTCATTCACCCTAATCAATACCAGATCCCCACCAATCCAACCTCAATTTACTCTCACGCACCTTTATCCATTTAAATGCACTTCAAACTACCACAAATGAGTTTGTTTCTGACAAACTCGTCATAGTACACCTCAATCGATTCTATTCATTTTCAATCCAATATAACTCACACTTTCACTGCGAATAATTCAGAATTTACTTTCTTTTAATTGACTTATGTTACTATAAGCTTCCGCAGGGTGTTTTCCAATAACTGGGTTCTTGTGTTCAGCCAAGGGCATCAATTTGTAAAGGGTTTATCATTAGGAAAAAACTTTCGGATTTGAAATTTGGAAAAAGTCTTTGAAAATTATAAGCAAAAGCGCACAGCGGAGTTGATCCACGACGTACAGTAGCCGACCGAGGGTTGTAACCAGGAAGGTCAAGGTGACATGAAAGACGCCAATCATAGCTACAACCTTACTCTGTTGATCTTGCAGAATGAAAAGCGACTGAAAATAAACGGTGTACTAAGGGGAGGGGGGTGCTGAGGTAAATGAATTACGTGACGTCTCTTCTTTTCGTTGGACAATTATTACCATTTTCTTGGAAAATTGAAAATCTCTGAATACAACAGAAAAAAAAAACCCTCCATGCCCCCAAGTGTCATTCAGACTGTAATGTAAATACCCTCTATTAAAGATTAATTTAAATCTATGATATGATCCTGAATCTCACTCTAAGTTAATGTTAGGAAATGAAAGTGAATAGTTGAGTTACCATCAAGATGCATTGTCATAATTTTTGAGAAAGGTATATTTGAAAAGTGTTGTAAATGGTAACCAAAATTCGCTAAACACATGAAGATAAGCAGAGAATGATAGGGAATAGTGACTGAAATGGTTTTTTCCTAACCTACACTCCCCCCTCCCTCCCCTTACTTATGAGATCAAGGTAAGGTGTCGTTAGGAAAGGGGAGGGA